CTTAGGTATACTTAAGCTTTGTATTGTGACATACGTGTCGATTTGAAAGTCTTTAAGCTTTTCTATAAAAATATATACAGAAAAATGTGTACAGTAGAATGAAGAATTAAACCTTGAATGAAACGACTCACAGGCATTTGTAGTTCTTGTAATTGAAGCTGTTTTTTCTGCCCATATACTTGGAGGAAATGTAGAATTTTCTTCATTATATGTTTCTAATAGGTAATCGGCATACCTATCGAGAACGGCATTTTCTGGTTTACTTGCCATTAAGTCAAACACAAAACAGTCTCCAACTTCATCGGCGTTTAAATATGTCAACCCAAATGATGTTTTAAGCCATTTTCCGGTATCACTGTTAGTTGTATATTCAGTCATTAATCCCAGAGACTGAATTTTACGATACCACGCTTGATGTAGATGAAATCGGCAGCCATTGATTACAGTATTAGGCCACATATAAATTAACGCCTTATGAATTGCTATTTCAAAATCAACGAACACTTTAGATGGATTTAAAGCAATACTGTAAGTTTCCAAAATTTTATAATGCAATAACGAAAACAAATGTTTGTATATATCAGTAGATTTGTTTGGTAATAAACAATATACCAGGGGCACATAGTGTCCATTACACAGCCCATGAATGGTAAATAATTGTAGGAAAAACTTTGTACAATACGAAAATGTTCCATCCATATACAAGACGTTCATTTTACACAAAGTACGAATATTTGTCTCACATGTAAATACAATAATATTATTTTCTCTGCTATTTATTAAAAGAAAATGTTCACCTTTACTGGTTTTAAATGTATTAGAATATAAGTCAACTGCATCATGCACTTCTTGTATATTTGTAGGTAATGGACCTGGTAGTATTTTGCGACGACTGTTGTATATAGTTTTTCTTATGTAGGACACATCAATTGTAGTTAGTGACTCTGGTAAATTAGTAGCAAGTACTTTACGGATAATTTTAGAAGGTTTTTCCGAAATATCATCAACTGCTTTTCGCTTACACGAATTAGAAATAATTTTCCTGTTTAATTTCGGTTCATTTGCTTCATGGCTATGAATTAGGTTGCCTCTGGATACTAAAAGTTCAGGACCAATTGTAAATACAGTGGCATTACAAGCATTTGTTTTTCTTTGGGAGCATCTCCAAGAAACGTCTCCACTTTTCATTTCTCTATCTTTGGCAAACGTAAAATTCTCCAAAAGGAGTACATCTTTCCCGCGTGTGCTTTTAATCAATGTAGCTGACATTATAGAAATAATTATTGTTTATAAACACTCGAATTACAATCATCAACGTATAAAAACTGACTGAAATATAAACAGTAAACACCCAAAGTAAGTACCTATTAGAATTATTAATAATCAGGTAGGTACCTATTTGTGGGCGGATGTAATTTGCGTGTTTAGGTACCTGAATGCTACTGTGGGCAAAATACCAGTGAGATTAACGCACCCCTTTACTTACACAGGTAGAAAACAGAGATTTGTGGGCAAAAAGGACCCGCCGGGCTGAGAAAGCTATTATTTACCCTAGGTATATAATGTACTATATAAAGCAGGTGGTCGAGGTGGTTTTTTATTAAAAAAAAGGTCCTCACCTTATAATTTTATAAACGGAATCCTTATATGTCGAGCTTCAAAAAAAAAAGTCATCAGCTTATAATGAACCAGGTCCTTCTATCGAGAGCCTAAAAAAGGTATCGAGCTCCTAAAATAAAAAAAGGCAATTGACGCCTAAATGTAATTTTGTTACTGAAAAATGTATAGTTTGACATAGGCGGGCCAAACTAGTCAACAGACAAAGGGCCACGAAAACGACAATGACTTACAGCTAAGTCATGTAGATTCGGATATTTATACCGATAGACAAGTACGATTTTTTATTTGTTTTATTAAATAAATTGCTATATATAATATTGTTCACTTTTGTATTTTTTGTTGATTTTATTACCATATGGTTTCGCCCAATTTAGATGAGTATGATAAGATTATAGGGAGTGTAGTGTGTGATTGCTATTTGATTATTTTTAATTCATGAAATCAGTTTACAGCAAAAGGTTCGTGTAAAAAATGTTGCTTGATAAAGGTTTTAAAAACGTTTGTAACCATATGGTTACAAACCCCGATAAAAATTACATTTTTCCATTAAAAATGTTAAATAAGTATTACGAGTGTCTAGAATTCAAAGCACTCATTTGTTTTTCTACGAGGAGTCATCTTGAATTAATAAACTTCTTTATTGATAGAGAAAATTATAGTGATAAACTTTTTTTGTATGAAGAATAATTTTTTTATTATGAATTGTTTTCAAGGTCGTATAAAAATAACACCAAATGATAAAATGTTATGCAATATTGTAACTATTAAACAAACGATAATATTGTAGTACTGCATATATTTTTTTTGTAATTTTAATATTGTGATGCTTTAGTATTAGATGAATTAATACTTATTGGTTTTATAATTATGTAATATTTAAAAAATATAGGTAGAACTATCAAAACTGTGTCGCCATTGTTTAATTTTTTTGTCGTTTATCCGTCTTCATTGTTAATTAATTCAATTAAACAAAAGATAAAAATTTCAAGAACAATATTTGGTTTGTAATTAGAACAAAATTGATACAGGGCAACTCCGAAACATTTTTAAACGTATACAGAAATGCGTGAAATTATATTATTATTAAAATATTCACTCTATAAGCGATATACAAGGTGTTTAAAAAAAAAGTGTACTCAAAAATAAGTGGGATTAGATTGATATTGAGATTTAAATATTTATTTTGTTTTTTTTTTTTTTATTTATAAACATTTACGACTTCAAATGAGTAGGGTACTATCCAAATTAATTAAAACAAGAAATTATCCACAATAAACTTACTTAGTTGTTTAAAAATGATCTTATGTATTATTAATTGAGATTTTTTGTTTAATCGTTTCCAAGAAATAATTTTTACATATAATTTTCTTTAATTATCAAGAATGTGCATTTTGTTTAAATTCAGTATTTATTTTTATCATTAATATTGTAAAATAGGGTTTTTTTTTTTTAATTTAATACTCGTGTTGTAAAAAAGTAAAACAGTTTTATATTAATATACAGGGTAGGGTGTCTGTAAAAGGTCTTTACAAAAACATACCACATATTCCTTAGACCAAAATAAGTTGATTTAAGTAAAATTACCTTAGTACAAAGTTGCTTCGTTTGGGCTCCAGAGGGCCTTGAAGTTACAATTTTTAAATCGTTTTTCCCATATAAATTTAAAACGGCATATGCGATTTTGCTGAAATTTAGTATATTGGTAGAGTTTTATGTGGCAAAAAAATGGTATTAAAATTTTGTCCGATAATAATACATAGGCGTAGAACTTGATTTTTTAAATAATTGCACCTTTAAAAATTCTACGCCAATGGAAGAAAAGGAGTTTGAGTATGAAATTTAGATTGTGCAACTTATTTACTTTAAAAAAGGTACTCTTGATAAGACTCGATTACTCTCATGGTTTTGACGAAATTTGCATTTTAGTAATTTTAGAACATAAACAATAATTATTAAAATACAACCTTTGTCAAAACCATGAGAGTAAATCGAATGTTATGAAGGGTACTTTTTTGTAGTAAATGAGTACCCAGTACTTAAATCGACTTATTTTGGTCTAAAGAATATGTGGTATGTTTTGTAAAGACCTTTTATTTTATCTTCTTGTAGGTATCTTCTATTTTTTAATAATAAATAATTGTTGCAATTCACGTGTATTTACACACTTGTTTTTAAAAAGCGAAATAAATCCAAGCAATAAAATAATTTTTTATCATTGTGTAAATATATAGTTAAAACAATGCCTATTTATATTACATAAATTTAAACTTATTCTTTTAATAAACTAACAGAACAAAAATAAATATTATATACATATCTATTCAAAAAGTTTATTCTTTTTACAATAAAAGTTATATTATTTACTATACTTATATAATGTACATTTAAATCTGTAAAAATCTTGATCACAAGAAAGCATTATAGATTTTAATTTCTAATCCGGTTCTGCAAATAACTTGTTTACAGCTGGGTAACTACAATTTTAAACAAAGCATAAAAGAAAGAGATAAAGGGAAAAGTTTACTCAATCAATTATTGCTCAGTCTGTAATGTTACATTTCATTTAAAAATTAGTGGGCTTCAACGATATAAGACTTTACAACACTTCAGTTGTATGTCACAGTCAACGTGGATTAAGGTCCTTATTTACAAACAAAACTCAGCTGAGTCGGACTTGGGTAAATCGTCCTTGAACGAAAATCGAAGTTCTGTTATATCGCGTGAATTTAGAGATGGGTAGTAACAAATCCGTAAATGTATTTAACAGCTACAGATTTGCTAATACCCATCTCTAAATTCCAGTGTAACACCGGAACCACCTGGAACTTTAGAGACGTTGTAACCGAACTTCGATTTTCGGAATAACCACCCAAACAACAATTAACAATTTAAGTGTTGCAGATCCCTGTTAAAGAATAATTTGGAGGAAAAACAAAAGCCTTTTAAAATTACATTAGGAGAAATAAGTTCGTTTATTAATTCATCCACTGGCGCAATATGTACATTCCCAAGACAATATGTACAAACGACGCACAATATAATATAAGAATCATCGTTTTTATAAAATACATAAATACAAAAAGCACGTTGTAGCCCCATAAATCGCTGTCGACCATCGTTTAACAACTACCTTCTTTTTCGGAAATGTGCCTATTGCGCCAGCGAATGAATTAATAAACACACACCCTATATAAAACACAATCTGAATGATTGCAATATATAGGAGCTTAATTATGAATGATTGGATTAGTCCAGTAGTTTTTCGTCGTTGGCAGCTGTTCATTGTAATTTGCGTAATTTTTTATATTATGAGGCATTGCAGCAGGATGGGGTACCATTCTACCAGATAATTACTTACTTTTACTATTTTCTTTTTACAGGCTTTTGCATTAAAACCCGAGAACTCGCCGGAAATGGCAAAGTATTCATCAATATATGCCAAACAGACGCCATTCCGCCGCCTAAAGACATCACCACAGCCGAACTGCAAGAAATCCTCGAATCTGACGAACCCGGCGATTATCGGGTACCCATGAGCATCGGCGAAACTCGAATAGAAAGCGACAAGAAAGGCGAGAAAGCGAAAGTTTGCGACGTCGCCATCAACCCCTCTTTCTTTAACAAAGTCACTTCCATTCCCGAATTCAAGAACTTCTTCTTGGCTATAGTGTTTCACGGTTTGCAGGACAAGTACAATTTGGACTTCGTCGAGGAGAAAATCATTTTGCAGAATCGCAAGGCGTTCGGTACTTTGCAAACGCACAGGATCCAGCAGAGAGAAATCGAACAGAAGATGGCTGCGAACGGAAGTGATGCTCCGTTGTTGGGAAGCGTCGGCGATACTAAAATAGGAAGGAAACCCATGATAGAAACTATCTCTAGCGTGGATAATGTTGTTAAAGAACCTGATTATCGGCTATACAAAAAGAAGGACGGGCAGAATTGTTTGCATGGTGAATTTAAGTTACCGGATGTGGTAAATAAAGTTTTTTTTTAACATAATTGAATAATCTATTCTAGCATTAAACCAAAATTTTTGTTTTGGGATGGAAGCTTCTTATACACCAATCGATAAGAATTGAGCAACAATCTTCCTTCACTTCTCTTCCTATGAAACAGTTATTTCATTTGAGTTACAGGTCTTCAACATGTTTTTTTTTTTAGATATCTGTGAAAGAATTAACTTTAGACGTTGGCGAAGATAGAATTTTATTGGAATCCAAAGTTAGAGGCTATCTTCTCGATATATTTGTTCCTTACATTATTAAGCAGAAGAACTGTTCGTCTGCATTTAACAAATCTTCTAAGGTATGTATGTAAGGCACTAGCCTTATGTGTTTTGTTGGCTGTTTAAAATTGTTATTTTTTTTTAGGTTTTAACTGTTACTATGCCTCTTGTTGGAGGATAAAATCACGCACAATTATTGCAACTGTTTACAAATTAAAAAAATTATTACACTTCTGAATATATTTGATTGATATTTGAATAAGAGATTATTCGTTTGAAATAAAATTAAAAAAATTTACCATAATGTTATGTTTATATCGTTCTCCTGGCTTTTAGAGATTGTAAAAACGTGCCAAGATACATCTATAGACTAGTTGCTTAAAAAAAAGTAGTTAATAGTAGGTATATCTATCTCAGAGCCTGGTAGCAAAAGGACATGTTTTAATTAAAAGATTTTGAACTGTAATTACTCTTAAATGGTTAAATATAGACATATGTGGTCAGAAACATTTAAATCAATTAGTTTTGTTCTATACTTAGTGAATTTCATAAATCATTGGCTTTGGAAAACGCAAACAAATTTTAACGGTTTATTATATAGAATAGAAAGCAGCAGGCTTACATTCCGAAATTTCTTTAGAAAGGGAGCCTCAGTAATCAGACTTAGGATGAATTTGACTAATAATAAACAACATTAAAGAAATGATGCATAGACAGTTTTGCATACCCAAATACTCAGATACCTGGCTCCTTGGAAGTCTCAACCACCTTTTCTAAGTAGAATAACAATCACCAAGAAACGGGTATCTTAAACATTAACTATTATGTCAACTTTCCCATTTTCACAAGTGTTTTTCCGACAAAACGGCCGATTTGAATTAATGCAATAGCGGAAATCATAAAGGAACGTGGACTAAATTGACAGGAGGCAAAAATAAAGGTCAATTGATTTGAATGCCATGTTTTCTAATCTGTACTATCGTTATTTAAACAAGGCGTTCCTGAAGGCTTACCCCTGTTACGTCGTCTGTTCGTATATCTTGTTTGTGTGCATTTTATTTGCGTCACCGGCCTGTAAAAGTTCTCCTAGTCTCAAAATTTGGCGACTAGGAGAACCTTCTCCGAACAGGTGGGCACAACAAAACATAAGCATAGCAAGTCGTTCTTTTATTCCATCCAAGCACCGTTTGTTCTATGGACTTTGGCTAAAATATCTGTTCTATTTCAAAAGGAAAGGAAGCTGTTTATGGTTCTGGAAAAAGGTGGTACTGATTTTATTATTAAGACTAGAGATAAGGAGGCGAATCGGCAACGGTCCAATTTCTGTCCTTTTTATGAAGTTCGCGAAATTGATTGTCAATTTTCTATGTAAGTCAATTTAAAATGAAGTTATTTTTTAAAAAATTTGTTAAAAGAATCAAAATAATATGAAAAAAGTACCTGAGTACAAGTAACGTAAGTGATAAAAAACATCAAAGCAAGATAAGATTTACATCGTTCCAGATTGTAAAACAGGATACAAATCAAATGTAAAACTAAAGGAAACAAGGATAAATCTATTCAATGTCTTTTTAAAGCTTCTAATGTAAGTACAATAATGTATGTCTAAGAACCGATTCCACCGTTGTGTTAAACAGAGTTTAAAATGATATTTTTACATTAACAATGTCATTTTAATCATCGTTTAACACAACGGTGGAATCGGTCCTTAATATAATAGTTATTGTAAACTAGTCACAATATGTATCTTACGGAGTGTAGTTTATTTTATTACAAGTTTCTATAATATAAAATTTTACAGTCATAGATCCTGACTTACAAACAAAACAATAATTATACATTAAATTTAACTTACTAGAAAAGAAAATTATTTTTTTATAAAGATTTAATGTTAGATAAAGAGTTTCTACTGTTATTTTTTTGTTGAACCCCAATTGTGGCATTGTAAATGTTTTTTATAGGACACTAAACGCTTAGAACAGTGGCAGCATATGTATCGTTCCTAGTGCCGATAAAGCACTTTCTAGAGATGATGCTGTTCTATACTTTTTAGAAGATATCAAATATTATGAAACTATTTTTACTGATGGTACTGTTAGCAAAATTAAAAGGGGAAAGCTGAAATTAAAGGATGAGGTAATACCATGTACATTCCCAAATCTCCCTTTATACTTGTATTACAACAATAAAAAATCTGTTAACTGTGTTTTATTTTGCTCTTAACACTATATATAGATTCAATTCAAAAAAAAATTGCCACAAAATTGTACTTATCAAATTTCAGCATTTAACAAAACTTTTCGAATTTGGTCATACCTACCTAATTTGTATTTTATATAGATAACATTAAATAATTTATCAATTAAAACATGGAAGACTTATTTAGAAGTAAATACAACAATATGTTATGTGCTTTATTTAGCTATAAACAAGTTCATTTTTAGTATTTTGACAAAATTATGTAAAATTCCCATTGGAAACTATGTATTTTGAACACTGTAAGCAGTACCAGTGCCCATGCGGTTAATTAAAAAAGCTCAGCGTGCGTTTTTTGGGACCATATTTTGAGTGTCGATTCTCCTCCTTATCTCTAGTTTTCATAGATTTTATATATGCCAAAATATCAACGGACCACATTTTCGATTTTTTTAGACCCACTAAAACTAAACAGATTTTTGAGTAAAATGTTCGCCCTAAATGAAATTTCAAAATACGTTACTGCTAAAGTTACGCGTTACTAAATATGACTTAGTTATTTTGTAGTATAAAATGAATTAGAAAATGGGATTTTTTTTGTACAATTTTTCATAAACATTCCGCGTAATGATAATTTTTTCAAATCCCCTTTAGAACAGTACGTCACTGGTAGACCGGAAACACTTCTCGCCATATTCCTCATATATCTGTCAGAATACATTCGGGATCGGCTCCGCGAACAAAGCTAATATAACAGTTCCACGAGCAGTTATGTCAAATAGGTCAGTGAAAAATCTAGTACAATTTTAGCTGGTACTTTTTTATGGTAACGGCAACACTGTTACCAGTGTTTTGCGCACCGACCTTGATATTAGTTTATTTATTGATATATATACTGGGATTTATGTCCTTCCAGTGGTGTCCTATATTATTTATTGGCCATGCGGTAGTTAATTGTCAAGAATAAAAGTCGAGAGTCTAGAGATAATGGGTATGGATAATCCAAAATAAAACATTCAGAATTTAGAAGTTCGAGCGATTACATCAAATACAAAATTAATTTATTATAACAAAATTACATAACTCAAGAAAAAATTTCAATGGATTACCTTAAACAACCTGAGTTAGTTGCAAAAGTTCAAAATTATTTTGGTGTTAACCGTAAATTAAAGCAAAAAGATCAAGAATATACAATAGAAAATAGATTTTGGTACTATCTATTCCTATTTGGAACCGCCTTGGGAGATGAAACATTTTATTCTGCTTTTATACCATTCTGGTTTTGGAATATTGATGGGGCTGTGGGAAGAAGGTTTGTTTTAGTTTGGAGCATAGTAATGTATACAGGTTAGTACTATAATTAATTTAGCTAATCTTATTTTATCACTTCCATCTTAATTGATTTGTATTTGTTAGTTTTAAATGTAATACAAGATTATGTACATTTGTCAACAAAACCTTTGTATCTGCTGGCATTCAAAGTGCTTCAATCATTTTAAAAAAGGTTTGACCTGTTAACGATTAAATTGACTAGGAGAATCTTATATTTTCTAAGCTTCAAATCTACATTATTACATTCTGATTTCTCCAGTCATTAATCTTTTTTTTTTTGCACAAATTCACATTTTTAAACATTAAACAGTGGTGATACTAATGACTACATGAGGATAGTAGTATGAAACCTTAAATTGGACAAAGACGTCTTTTTTAACTGACTATTAAAATAACTTTTATTCTAAGGTTCACATTTATAGGTCGATCCCTTCTTAAATTGTTTATGAATCATACCTAGGTGATTTCAGCTATTTTTATTCATATTCATAATAATAATGACTACCACAGTCACAATGAAACAATCTTTTTGTTGCATGAAATTTGGAATGCCAGAAAGTGTCCTTATATTTTTTTGCAGAGAGAGATTTAGATGTGATTTATTATTTATTCTAATGTAAACATTTAGTTTACTCATATGAAACAAAAGTAGGATGCTACTTTCGATATTTAATGGTTTTTATACTCTCCTATAAAAATTGTCAAAACTGACTTGTGAGGTTTTAAAATTAGACCAATGATATATTCTCCATGCCTGCCTCAAGCTTTTACATTGCTATAAATAACTGATTTTGATTTTTCCAATATGTGATCAATTTCACAATAAGATCTGCCATTTTTAACTAATTCTACATCCCTTGCAATACAGTAGGTATCAAATCATTCATTATATTTTTTTTACAGTTAAGAATATGGTTGTTGCCTTTTATATATATATAAACATAAAATGTTCAGAAAAGATCAGGTTACTATTTGGTATTTGAAAATGTTTTAAGTTCTTTGTTTTCCATTCTATAGGATGTTTGAAAAAAAAAACCTAAAAAAGCGATAATTTATGGACGTCCCTGTAATATTGTATTGAGACAAATTTTTTTATCAAAAGTTAGTAAGAACTTTAAGAGAAAAATGATGTTAAACTTAGGCTAAATTTACTGGTGGATATAATTTGGAAAAAACATGGGCTATTTAAATTGTATTCTTACAAATTTGAAATGATATTTTAGGACAGCTATTCAAAGATATAATTCAGTGGCCCAGACCGGGACCACCTGTAATTCGATTACACAATAAATGGGCTCTGGAATATGGCATGCCTTCAACGCATGCAATGGTTGGAGTATCCATACCATTTTCTATTATATTATATACAATGGACAGATACCAGTACAATATTCCTTTGGGCATATCCATTTCAGTGTTATGGTGTACAATTATTTGCGTCAGTAGATTGTATTTGGGGATGCACACAGTTTTGGTATGTATATCAGTTACTGGTGTCTTTTAATAGGCAAATTGATTTTTCTGTAACACCTTCATCTACAATACACAGTGATGTTTATCTGAGTGACAGAGTTACATTATATTAAATTTGTTTTGGAATATAGATATACCAATTCTAATAGGACAAATCCAACAATGAAAACGTATTTTTGGTATTAGGTCTATTATAATTATCTATACACTTACTTTAGCAAGATATGACTTTTGTTTATACTCTAATATGTTGTGTTATGAACATCTATTTAATATTGATAATAAAATAAAGTTTTTTGATCCTCTATAAAATTTTAGTTATTAGAATTAGAGTATCAATATATATATATATTTTTTAGGATGTTATTGCAGGTGTGATTTTATCGATTTTAATCATGTTTCCAATGGTACCTTTGGTAGATGCGATGGATAATTACTTGCTTACAAGTCCATCATCTCCATTGCTACTGATAGTGTCTTCTTTATTAATATTAGTTTACTATCCAAATAGTGGGAAATGGACACCAACTAGGTAAATTCATTTCTTTTTTCCTATGACTATATATGAAAATCATAGTTTGCACACTCATTTGTACATGAAAAAAGTAACTTATATCACACGTGTACTGAAATATATATCACACTTGTATTGAAAAGTAATAAAACACACTTGTATTGAACAGTTAAAAAATACTCTGTGACATGTATGTCAAAGTTATTATAATTGTCAATACAAATTTTTATATATAAAATGAGAGGCAATAAAGTTTTTTTATAGGTCTGGTAAACTTATAAACATTTTTACTCACTATTGTTTATTGAATATTGAAACGGATTTTTCTATAAAGATACTTTTCGTAAACAAATAATTTTTTCTTTTTTCTATAGTGTTATGTTTGGAGAATACTCTAATAAGAAAGGTTATGAAAGTGTTTACAATACCCCTTTTTATAGGTGTCCATTATAGTTTGAAAATAATGAAGTTTGTTGAGATGTTAAAATAATGTGTTAAAAAAAATTACTAATTAATTCATTTGAATGAAAATTTATTATCCATAGTGAAGAAAAACGTATTCTTCATGGTTGTTTTGATTTCACTAAACCCAACAGGTAAGTTGAATGTTTAAAAATATTTTTTAATTATTCTATATTTTAGATGTAAATTTTTATAAATTATTTTGTTAGTATCTCTGATTTAGTTATAAATATTTTTTATTATTATTTCTTGTTCTGTTCTTAAGTTATAAATATTTTATATAATCATTTTATTATTTCTAGGAATCGCTACTGTTACAAAATAAAAAATATTTTGGAGGATGTTTTACTTTTCAACACATGTGTTGATATACTTTTCAACACGTGTGATATACTTGTCAGTACATGTGTGATATTGTTTAATTGACTTACTTATTTGAAGAAGCCGTTTTTAATATTGGTTGAGAAAAAGATATAATAATAATGTTTATTTTTTCAAAAGAAATAACAATAGATCAAATAAACATAAATAATCAATGAAACATCAAGATATGTGATATTTAAAATATAATACATTTTTTTAAACTATTTTAACTTTTTTATTATTTATTTTTTCGTTATTTTTGTGTAATACTTTTCTCTTTATTATTTAGTCAAGAAGTTTATGCTTGTCAATTCTTGGTAGGTATCTTTAAATGTAACGGATGTTGTTATAGTCCTTCCATTATCAATTGCAGAACACAGTTATGTGGGGAATCATCAATATTTAATATATACGCGAAAAATAATGTTTACTCCCCTTATACAAAGCGGTAAATATTAAACGAACCATCAGTTGTTTACCAATGAAAACATCGAATTCTAAACTTAAATGCACTGTATTGGCCGAAGGTTTACGGAAGGCAGGTGTTCGAAAATATTCCTGGAAGACAGTCTGCGATATCAGTGGAGTACTGTCGTGCGGTGTGTTTTGTATGTGTGGTTGGTTTAATTTAAATTTCTTTTAATAAATATAAATATGGCGTTCTTTAGACCATGGGCGAATGAAGAAAATGAAATTGCACAGTGTAGTGAGATTAAAGACAGGTATGACTTTAACGATAAGGATTTAGATATACAAACACAACAAGTTATTTTAAATATATTCGAATGTTTAAAAAAAGGAAAATATTCAGCAGTCTGATAATGCGTTCATAATAACAATTGTTGAATTAACTAAAGTAAATAAATTTTCCGTTTATCCGGTAGTCACGAAAGCGGTTGCAGTGGATTATTCATAAAACCGAAAAACATGTAAAGAAAAACTGAAATCAGTTGACAGAGCTACCCAAGATTTTATACGAAGGACAATTTATAGTTTATATAAGGAGAACAGGGTTCCGACATTGGAAGTAATACAGCAAAAGGTGGCAGATTTTCCAGGATACACTTATACCAGTTTGAAAACATTGCGTCAAGTTTTGTCAGCATGTGGTTTTAAACACAAAAAATTGAATAAACAGATGGCAATCACCGAATCGTCAAGGATAGTTCAATGGCGACAAGATTATTTGCGTCAGATAAAAGGCTACAGAAGTTCTAATAGACACATAATTTATCTAGATGAAACATGGTTTGACAGTCACGATGTAGTAAATTTCGGTTGGGTTGGCAGTAGTAAAAATTGCTGTTTGAATGGGCCATATTCTAAAGGGAAACGCATTATAATAGTACACGCTGGAAGCAAAGACGGTTTCGTGCCTAATGCTTTATTATTATCTGCTAAACAAATTAAAAACTGTGCAGCTGATTATCATGAAAATATGACAGCAGAATTATTTGAAAAACGGTTTAATGAACAGCTTTTACCTTACATTCCACCACAGTCAGTAATCGTTATGAACAACGCATCCTACCACTCGCGGCAACTCCTTAAAATACCAAATAGTAGCAGTAAAAAAGCTCAAATTTTAGCTTTTATGTCTGAAAAAAAATATTCCTATTCCTGCCAGTGATAGTAAAAAAGAACCAACAAACAAAGAATTGCTTACTGTTATTAAAGGTATAAAGTTAGAAAAAATGTGTTATATTGACAAGCTGTACAAACTCTTCTCAGACTACCTCCTTACTATTGCATATTTACCCTATAGAGTTAATATTGGCAAACTTAAAATCAGAATTACGAAAATGTAGTCAGTCTCCAGAACTGAGTAAAGAAGTTGTAGAACTCGTAAAGAAAGTTCTAGCAGCAGACCGCCAAGAGCTTTGGAAAAACTGTGTTGAACATGTTATCTAAGAAGAAGATGAGTATGTAGTATTACCCTCTTTACAACCCATCATAATTCAACCAAATGATGACTCTAGTTCAGAGGATTCAGACTGCCATGATTATTTATAAAGATACTTTAGAATTGAATTGTTTTTTTTTTCTTTTGTTTTATTTGCAAAGAATTTATTTTCCTTTATGGTTTTTTCTTTGAAATTTTGTTTTCCAGAAAAAGAACGAATGGGGTACAAAAAGGGTTCAGTTCACGTCTGGTACCCTGTTTAAACCAAACGCCCTTACAGGCAGGTACACTTTACTCGCTTTTTTACGTTTTATAATTTAATATTCAGTTGTAGCAAGTTAACGAGCTATAATGATTTTTTTTTAAGTCCAAGTAAGATTACAATTAAGTGCATCTGTCTAAATAAGGGCGTATAATAACGTCCAATTTATAATTATTCGATTTTCTTTTAACGAATATTTTCTTGCATATGATATATATTAAAAGTATTAATACAATAAATTTATAAAATGAGGAAAAGGTAAACGAGTTTTTATGATCTGCAATTGATAAGGGAAGAACTATAATAACTCAAATTTTCTTAAATATAGTTAGTTTCTACTATATCAAGGATGGGAATTATTGAATTCTATCAAACTTATTTTATTTATAGTAAAACAAGTTTTTTAAGTGAATAATTAATATTTCCTGTAGCACACAACTTGTTTATCTGAACTTTTTATAAAAAATTTCATATTTGCAAGCCGATTAACCAATGTAATAATAGAATTCCTAATCAAGGATTCATGCTTAATAACTTAATGAGTGTTTAAAAAAAATACTTCATTGATGATTAGATGGATTATTCTAAATAAATGTTTTGACCTTTGTAAGTTTGAAAAACTAGCTAATCTAATGACCTCATTGTTTTTTTTTTTAATCTTTTATATTTTATAACTAAACCAACTATATAAAAAAATTCGAAAATCGAATTATAAAAAAATATAACTTTATTAGAACTTAAAACGATTATGCATAGTTGGCAAAATAATAACAATTTCTTCTTTTTTTAGACATACAACACTAAAGTTTTGTTTTTTGTATATCCAAAATAATTTCAGATTTATTCAAAATCTTTAAGAATCTGACCCAGTTCTTCTTGGGGTAAAAACAAACAATTTATTTTGTTAATGTCCTCTAAATTATTTATAGCTTAAAATTAGCAACATACTAGTCGAAACTTCCCATTTTTTAATACTACAAACTTTTTTTTTAGGGGTGATACAGCAATGATAATCGGTGTGACCGTCGGAATCTTAGTAGGCTCATGGACCAATTACCAATCGGGAATAATGAAACCTTCAGAATTGACGGCTCCTTACGCTATAATGTGGCCGTCCTACACGATGTTCGGATGTCTAATCCTGCGAACCATTATCGGTTTCGTTGGAGTCGTACTGACTAAAAAATTTTGTAATTATTTCACATACAACTTCCTATGCGCTCTTCTAAGAGAAGACGTCGACAGTCTGAAAAAATCTGAAAATACGCTTCAAAACAAACACAAAACGTTCGTAGAATTGAGTTGCAAATACGTTTTTTGCGGTATGATCGGTTTTAATACTATGTACGTTATTCCGCAGCTGTTTAGATTTTTGAGGATCGAAAGGCCGACGTTTTTTACGGAAATATGATAAATCGCTCTGTCGAGCTAACCGTTCTAGTCACATTATGTTTCAGTCGAGAGGTAAATAACTAAGGTCAAAATGTACCTGTATTTCGGAAAACGCCCATGGTTCTATACGATTTCGGTGATTTCGCCCAAATCCCCCTTAACTTTATACGATTTCGATAATTTTCAACGATTTATAAATTTTCTTCTGGAATATTAAAATCGATTTTTTTTTCTCTAAAAAATTGAGATTTCCAGTGAAAATGTATTAGTATTTCGGGAGTTTCAATGTTTAATTTCAACTACATAAGAAATATCTTATATAATCCAAATGTAGAATTAGTAGTCCATTCATGTAGTGCAAAAAATGGGGAAGAATTTCTCAGTGGCTTCTATAATGTTTTTGTTGGTGCTGAATATGAACTTTCCTACCTTGAATTTTTCCGACCATAGTTTATAAAGGAAACTATTATTTATTTTTTCAAGTTCTTCTTGGGTGTTTCCTAATAGTCTTATGATGTGGGCAAGGTGGGCCTTGTCCTTGCAAAAGTCTTCGCCGGAATGGAGTTTGAATAGCAATCGCCGTTGGCCAATTCAAACGCCATACAAGTCGTGCTCCAGATATCCCCCGAAGTGTTTAACCTGCTCCTAATGGTACTTCCAAAGATTTATACTCCCTTGTTTGGATGTCTTTGTTAAAATGTTCTTCTTTTTTTTATGGAAGGTGTCATATTTGTCGTCAATAAGTTAAACAATGCAAAAGACAATATAAAAATTTCCCTAACTGCTGGTGGTGTGGGATTAAATTTGGTTGGGACCAATCATTTAAATCCTTCTAGATTTATATTGGAATCTACAATTAGAGAATCAGTCGACTACTTCCGAAATACATGTACGTTTTCACTCGAAATTTCCGAAAATATCGAAAATCATGTTTGAAATCAATTTCGTTGTTCAAAAATGTAAATGCAGCACTTGTGGATGAAAAGACAAGGGAATAGTCCCAAAAAAGGTCATAGTATAAAATTAAGGGAAATTTTTAATGAAATCATATAAAAATTTGAAGGTAATTTCCAAAATACAGATACATTTTGATCTTAGTGGTTTTCCCCTCGAGACAATATCAGTATTTAGAAAATAGTACACATCACATGGTATAAAGACATTCTGTAGTTCTTTAAGGAAAAGTCCAATTACATACTTGGAAGATTTAAAAGGTTATTCAAATAATAATTTTTTTTTTATATCGTTATTATAAATTAATGCATTTTTTATAATAAATATTTAACATTTATTTTTGTTTTAGCTGATAAGTTCAAATTATGCCATTTTATACAATACCTACATAAATGTGCATTTTTAGATATACCAATAAAAACTCCCAGGCCGGATATTTTCGTAAGTAATAGAGATATTTTAATTCTGCAAAAGCCAGTTCACAGAGCACTAAGAGAGCTTCAGTTTTAGATATAATTTGATTTTAAATAGGTCAATATGTAGATGGCGCTGTGCTCAATAATTTTTTCTTGATGGGAGCATCTTGTGTAGCGCATCTTGTAAAAAAATGCATTTCGATAAATCTAGCCATTTTTGATATACAGAGGGTCACTCAAAACAGTTTCATCCTGTTTTTCAGCATATCTATAGATGGCGACTGTTTTTGGGTTGCCAAGAGTAAATAATGAGTGCCATTTTCTGTCCATGTATCATTTCGTTTAAAATTATATTCCAAAGAAGAATGGATGAGTACCATTTTCAGTCCAACTAAATGACTAACATAGGAAAATCATTGTTGCCACAGTAAACAATAACAAAGAAATTTTATAGCTAAATTAATTACCGAAATTAACGGTTATTGTATTATTATATTACAACCGAGACTACAGAGTTTAATAGAAATTCAAATTGTCTTTTTAAATAAAAATCAATTAAAACATAACTTATATTATTTAAATGGCAACATTGCATCGAAGCGAATAAATATGTAGGGAAGGAAATTTTACGTTAATTTATTTTTGAGAATGCATGAAATAACAAATCTTTTTCCCTTTGTTATTAGATTAGGTAAATTTGAATCGGGCGCTTGGCTGGTGGTTTTTATTATATTATCAGCGGCAATAATTAGCCGTTACCGTTAAATAATTACCTAAAACCTCTATGTAGGACTTACATATTTCTATGTACCTAATTAAGATTAGATTTATTATTACCTAAATTGAATATAAATATAATATTTTATTAAATAATATGAGTAGGGTAGATTTACGAGTTTATGAACTATTAAATTAAACTGCGTGCGTTAATTATCATAACATTCTACGTACAATTTTTGTAGGAATGGGTATTTTTCCGAACTAAAAGATTTAATCTGTGCAAAAAAAATACATCAAATTTTTAGGTAGATAGAAGGATGTAGATAGGATACCTACCCCATATCTTCTATATACCTAGGTAGGCATGATTAAATAACTTTTCAATTTTATGTTTATAACTCCTGTACCTACCAATCGAATACATATCTAAAAATATGGTTTCAGGAATAAATATTCAAATGATTTTAAAATACTTAAACTAGGGATTTGCAAAAACGAATTTTCGACAGTTTTTTTGTTTATTATCCACCCTGATTGTGATTTTTGCTCGGTGAGTTTTTTTGCATCAAACATAAGTTTTTGGTTAAAAATTGTGAATTTTTGTTATAGTTATAAACACTAGACATTTATTGCCTAACTTGATTTTTTGTGAATGCCGTTAAAAGTAAATAGCCTCGTATACTTTTATTTTTTATAAAATACGTAGTAATGTAACCTGCAAAAATAAAAATAATATTTAAAAACAAAATACCTACACTTTTATAGTTGCTAACATTATTTGGTTGAAGCAGTAAGTTCTAAAAATAATAAAGAAAAGCTTTTCTCATATTATTATAATCAGATATGCCAAATTTCAAAGACATATTACTGCACAAATCTAAAGATTGATAAAAATACAGGGTGTTGCACGACATTTAAACTCAGGCTGTAGGTGAAGTGGTAAATTAAAAACTGCCACTAAAAATGCTTTTTTCATTTTGGATAGCGAAATTTGTTAAATCTTTTGAATCATTGTTGGTATGTCTAAAAAAAACTCAAATAATTTATTTGATTTTGGTATGCAGTATATTTAGCTATATGGACCAATTCAGTACTTAGTATATTGAGCACAAAAAATTACTGAACCGAATTATGCAAATAGAAAGATCGTAAACACGATGTGAACAATAAAGTAAGAGTAACATTCATTTTTACTTTTCTACTGTACAGGGTAATCGTTATTAAAACATCTATGAGAACTGGACAGTTAAATTCTAGCACTGCCGAAAATACTACGTTCTTTGTAGAGACCATGAATAATTTTTTCGATGCCTTTAATAGTAAACGTATCCGAAAATCAAATCCCTACAAAATTCCAAGGGGAAAATTAACCCGACCTGACAGTTTTGACGGATTTTTATTAACAATAAATGCAGTCGAGCAATTTTGGACATAAGTAAAACAAGCTGGATACATGTATATGTTTACTGGTCGCCTTATTCAAGACCTACTAGAAAATCAGTTTTCAGTATACAGACAAAAAGGCTGTTACGATAGAATTCCAACAACTCGGATTATAAAACCATTATTTAAACTAAATATTGGTAATAATTTTATGCAGCCTTCAGTTTCCGCAAATGCTGGTTCAAAACTGGAAAATAATGGAAACATTTTGGAGAGTTCTTCTACGTCAAATGATATTTTGCAAAATATGAATGTAGAAGGAGAGGAAGATAAAGAAAACTATGATAATGAGGAGGAAACAAACGTGGAAACTTAAAATTTGATTTAGTTTCCCCTCTTTCTGACAAATCATTTTTTTTTGGAAAGTTGTTCTTGCGTTTATTTTCCTGGATACTTGATAAAAAAAGTTTTAAACAAATTTAAACGCCAAACATCGGCCATTTTTGTCCATTCTGAGAGGACATTGGATTGATTAATTGTTCGCTTGTGCTGGTTTTCAAATTTTTAACTTTAAGTTTGAACCAACTTTTTAATAAACCAGTTTTTAAAAACACAAATTCTCAAAATTCAGTTCTCTGTAGTATCTCTAATTTAGCTGATACCCTTTATTGCTTGGTTTTTTTCTTGTGTTTTTTTACATCGTTTGATGTTAGGTGTTATTGCCTCTTTGTATGAACTTATTTTTGTTATTTATAGATACTATAGTAAGTAATTTATGCGTTTTTATCTTAAAAATCGTATAAATAAAAAACATTGCAAAATATCAATAGACTATTATTTTAATTTAATATTTTCACTACCCCTTGTAACAAGTCGTAGAAACTTATTTTCTTACCTCGTACCCTTTCCAACATGGCAACTAAAGCGTACTCTCAGAATATTTTGGGTAGCGTTTATTGTATAAAGATAGATTTCTACTTTTAAGTAGACTAATTAACAGTTTTGTCTTCTCTCGACCAGTAGGGCACCACCTCCTTATACTGGGAGGATGCGGAAGGTAGTCAAACAGAATTTATATATGCGCTGACTAACTATCCTTCTTCAAACAATGCTAAAACTGAAGCTCTTCTAGCGCTCTATGAACTGGCTCATACAGAATTAAAATATCTATTACTTACCAAACTATCCGGCCTGGGAGTTTTTATTGGTACACCCTCTATACAGATTACATTTTTACTTAGGATTTCGATAACTCACGTACGCTATATTAGTGTGACGTAAATTATCTAAAATTCTGTTTTCTATACTATCAATCGTCATAAATTTATGTACAAATACAAGTTTTTCCTTACCAATCCTCTCCCCTCTCTCTCTATTATATTATATTTTGAGCTAGAAGGATTTAAATGGTTAGTCCCAACCAAATTAAATCCCACACCATTGTTTAACTTGTCCACCATTTTCATTCTGTTATGGACTGGAACTTGCCCATTGAATTGATCAAATATGACACCTTCCTTTTTTAACTAAAATGATATAAGTTTAA